AAGCATACAGAACACACTGTCTTTCAGGAGCTGAGGTCACAACCACCCAGGAGGACGACGGGCCCCCAGCGAGGGAAGATCTGGCACAGACATGGGACCCAAGGTGGAGGATGCAGAGATGCCCACCCGTCCATCCTGTAAGTGAGGCCACCCACCTGAGCCCAGCATTTACAAGGTAGGGTACAGGTGCCAGCACCCCACCTCCTAGCCCAGAATCCATCCTCCCCAACCTAAGGCAAAGCCCCTTCCTCAACGGTCAAAGTCCGTTGGGATTCCCAAGGAGACAAAATGTATGTGCATCTGCAGAGAACATGCTACACTTAAGAACTGTTGGGGGCTGGGCACCCGGGCGCCCTCAGGCCCCAGGGAGTCAGGGCAGTGGGGCGGCCCTTACCTCATCGAAGTCGGCGATGATCTCGTTCAGGAGGCGCAGACACTCTACCCCCATGTTGTTGCCGTCCAGCTCGATGTAGAAGTCGTTGAAGTTGGGGATGGAGGCGAACATGACCCCCACCTGCGAGTACGACTGGTAGTACAGGTCCTGGGGGTCAAAGGTCGGGTCAGCCACCGGCGCCGAAGCCGTGACCAGAGCAGCTTTCAGCGCTGGTGCTGGGGACAGGCCCCACTGGGAACCCCTGCCTGGGCTGCCAGGATGTGCTGGGACCCCACACCGCACAAGGAGGGGGCTCGGAGCATCCAGGACACCGCGAGGTCGTTCAGCTCACAGGTGGGAGCAGAGCCCCCTGCGAGGAGGGGAGGAGGCACCAGGGAGGGACACACTCTTCTGGGAAAACAAACCACTCTGGACACCCCCAGGTCCAGCAGGATGAGAGATGAGCCCGGGAGCTATTTCAGGCCAAAGCTGGTCAAGCTGAGTCTTGGTGTTTGTGCCTTTAGGACCTAAAAGCCAACCTGAGCCCCTTTATTTTTGAGTCAGCTTTTCTAAGCCCTGTGCTGTGCTGCTGGGGTGGTTTTAGAGCTGCACCTCTAGGTCATGGCCCCTGACTGCGCTGAACACGGAGGAGGGAATGAACCACCGGCCCTGCAGCCAGATGGGCAGGGCCAGGGCATCCACACAAACTGAG